CACACACATATCTTTCTGTTACATATTTTCTCAGACCTTACCTTTTCTTTTGAGTCGGAGTCTCACTCTGCCACCCAAGCTGGAGTGGAATACCATGCTCATGGCCACTGCAGCCTGGACCTTCTGGGCTCAGGCAATCCTTCCACCTCAGCCTTCCAAGTGGCTGCAACTACATTCATGTGCCACCACACCTGGCTAATTTTTTGATTTATTGTAGAAACAAGGTCTCGTCATGTTGCCCAGGCTGGACTCGAACCCATGGGTTTAGGCAATCCTCTCGCCTCCACTTCCCAAAGTGCTGGGATTACAGGTGTGAGCTACCATGCCTGGCTAGGCATTACATTGAACTGCCTTCTTGTATATGTGAGTTTTGTTTTAAACTACCTCCAATCCCCTTTTCAAGTGGATAAGGCACAAATACAGACTCAAACAAAATGACTTAAGAAGAAAACAGCCAGTCTGGATAACTTGGCAAGACTTCGTCTCTACAGTAAATTTAAAAAATCATCCAGGCTTGGTAGCGTGCACCTATTGTTCTGGTTACTTGGAAGACTGAAGAGGAAGGATTGCCTGAGCCCAGCAGGTCGAAGCTGCAGTGGCCATGAGCATACTCCTACACTCCAGCCTGGGCGACAGAATGAGACTCCCACTCAAAAAAAAAAGAAGAAGAAGAAGAAGAACAGAACAAAAGCCAGGCGTGGTGGCTCATGCCTATAATCCCAGCACTTTGGAAGGTCGAGGCAGGAGGATTGCTTGAGCTCAGGAGTTTGAGACCAGCCTGGGCAACGTAGAGAGACCTCGTCTCTACCAAAAACTTTAAAAATTAGCCAGACATGGTGGCGCATGCCTATAGTGCCAGCTACTCAAGAGGCTGAGGCAGAAGGATCATCACCTGAGCCCAGGAGGTCAAGACTGTGGTGACCCATGATTGTGCCACTGCACTCCAGTCTGGGGGAAAGAGTGAAACCCTGATTCAAAAAAGAGAGGGCTAGGCGAAGAGGCTCACGCCTGTAATTCCAGCTGTTTGGGAGGCAGAGGCAAGAGGATTGTCCAAGTCCCGGGGTTCAAGACCAGTCTGGGCAACTTGGCGAGACCTTGTCTCTACAATAAATGAAAAAATTAACCAGGTGTGGTGGGACGTGCCTGTGGTTCCAACTACTTGGAAGGCTGAGACGGAAGGATCACCTGAGCCCAGCAGGTGGAGGCTGCAGTGGCTGTCAGTGTGCCACTGCACTCCAGCCTGGGTGACAGAGTGAGACTCCAACTCAAAAAACAAAAAACAAAAACAAAGAGAAGAGACCAAAGACATCGGTCTGAATAGCAAAGTTGACACAGGTTTCTGTCAGAATCACAATTAAATAACATTTTCATAAATGCTGAGGGAAGCACAGTGAAAAATCTGAGCCCAAAGTTGATTTCTCCAAGCAGTGAACAAATATGGAGAAACTTCAGGGAAATCCCAGTAGATGCTGATGTAGAGAGAAGCTCCAGTGTATCTAAGGGAATGGATCCAGGCAGACTCAGCCCTAACATTTGGGAACATGGGCCAGGATTCAAATGGAAGCCCATAACGTCCTTCCTTCTTTCTAATATACCAGGACAGAATGCAGGATTTTCGGTTTGCTAACGGGGGGGGGGGGGGGGGGGGGAAGAACGTAAGATTCTCAGAAGTTCCACACCAAAATGTGACAGCCTGCAGACAGCCAGTCTCCTATTCCCAGCCCCCACCTACAAGCCGTTCCTCCCCTTCTTTTCCCCTTCCTGCGCACCCTAACTCCAAAGACTCTCAGAAGAATGCATGTGGACACCTCAGGCTCCATGCTCAAGCTCTGTTCACGGTTCCTGCAAACAGCCACCCCTTGGTCACACCTCAGACCTAGGGAAGTAACACTAAGCAGAGAGCTTGGCAAAGCTTAGACTATAGGAGGGACCCGGGCCTTTGACCTGTGGGCTCCTTGCTTCACAGGAGGGGCACAGAGAGGAGGTACAGGCTTAAGAGAGGTCCTGGATTGAGAGGGAAATGAGCCAACAATGCTTAATTGCCCAGCGCTGAGGTCTCAGTTATGGCCCAGATAGAAAGCTCTTGGAATCGTTGTCAAAAGACTGATGCTGCAACAAAGACCAATATGAGAACACTGTCCTGCCCTGCCCTGAGCCAGGGTTTCACTGAATCTGAAATGCTAAACCTGTGTGCACCCCTGTGCCTGTCAGAGGGTCCTAAGAAGATGGGACTGAGCCAGAGAGGGTCCTAAGAAGATGGGACTGTTTCTTATGACGAGAAAAGAAAGTAATGGGGAGCTCTTCACCCTGGAAAGAAAAAGGATAAAAGGGGAAAGAATGAGAATCTGTTATATCCTTTAGGAAATGAATGAGGTGTTTATAAATGAACCACTCCTCACATTCTGGAATATTCTTTCCAAGGAGCACATCTTAAAGCCTGAGGAAGTTAGATTTGAAATGTAAATTATTAAAGCCACTGCAGACTGGCACAGAGGCACACACCTGTCATCTCAGCACTTTGGGAGGCAGAGGTGAGAGGAGTGCCTGAGCCCAAGGCTCGAGACCAGCCTGGGCAACTTGACGAGACCTCATCTCTACAATAAATCAAAAAATTATCCATGCATAGTGGCACACACCTGTAGTTCCAGCTACTTGGAAGGTTGAGGCAAAAGGATTACTTGAGTCCAGCAGGTTGAGGCTGCAGTGGTAGTAAGCGTGCCACTGCACTCGTCTGGAGACTCTGACTGAAAAAAAATAAAGTCACTGCACATAACAAACAAATGAAGCTCTTTAATCCAGGAGAAAATAAAAACTGAATAGGATTTGGTTCGGAAGGTTGAGGGAATGGGGGAAACACAGACAAGGGCATCAAAGTCCTCGCCATGTTCTAGGCCCCTAGGAAGCGTGGTCTTTGTGCAAACACAACAGTGGACTTCAGAGCACAGCAGTGGGCACCCTTGGTCATTTGTGTCCTGTGGTTGGAAGTCTGAGATTCTCATTCATTTATTTATTTGTTTATCTATTTATTTATTTATTGAGTTGGAGTCTTACTCTGTCGCCCAGGCTGGAGTGCAGTGCCTCGACCTGCTGGGCTCAGATGATCCTTCTGCTTCAGTCTTCCAAGTAGCTGGAACTACAGGCACACACCACCACGTCTGGCTGATTCTTTTGATTGATTGTAGAGATGAGGTCTCGCCAAGTTGCCCAGGTGGGTCTCAAACTCTCAGGCTCAGGCAATCCACTCACCTCAGCCTCCCAAAGGTGCAGGATTACAGGCTGAGCCACCAAGCCCAGCTCAGAGGCACATTCTTATGGTCACCTCAGATGTTCATTCACCTGGGTTGGAACGAGACTTCTTCTATAGCTTTCATGCCTTTAGTGACTTCAATAGAAAATCAAGAGTTTAGTATGTTTGTGTATATGTGTGTGTGTGTCTGTAAGTGTATGCACATATTGTGTGTGTGTGTGTGTGTGTGTGTGTGTGTGTGTGTGTGTGTGTGTGCTCAGAAAGAACTTACTCCCTCAGCCACAGGACATCTCTGAGGCCTAAATCCCACCACGGATCCCATGGTGGCTGGGATCCATGGACCTGACCCAAGGAAGCCCTGCCAATCTCTATACTTTTATGTTGTTGCTGTTTTTTGTTTGTTTGTTTGTTTGTTTTTTCCAGAGCTCTAAGCTCACCTCTGTACTCACAGCATTTCCTCTATGATGGTGTGTTAGTTTGCTCAGGCTGCCACAGAAGTGTCACAGACTAGATGATTTAAACAACAGAAATTTATTTTCTCACATTTCTGGAGGCCTGAAGTCCGAGATCAAGGTGTTGGCAGATTTGAGTTCTGAGGCCTCTCTCCTTGCCTTGCAGATGGTGTCTTCTCTGTGTCCTCATATAGTCTTTTCCCTCGTTGTTGCTGTTTTTATGTTTGCAAGTCTAGCTAAAGTTTGCACCCCCTAAGTCTTTCTAACAATCTTGAATGTTTGTCTTTGGAAAGTAGCTACTGTCCACTTTGAAACTAAGGCGTCCATCCATTCATTCTTTCATTCACTCATTGAGGGAACCACCTCTGGGTGCATATATAGGCCTCACCCCTCTCTCTGTGTCTCCCTTTCAGACCATCCTGGTGGGCGACAGTGGCGTGGGGAAGACATCTCTGCTGGTGCAGTTCGATCAGGGCAAGTTCATCCCAGGCTCCTTCTCGGCCACCGTGGGCATCGGATTCACAGTAAGCACTCGTTGGCACTGTTGGCCCCGGGCACGGGCCCTCCGTGCCCCAGCATGTCTCTGTCAGGGTGCCAGCAGGAAACAGAGGGACACTCAGGGTGCATCACTCAAGGAGGTTTGATGAAAAGACTATTTCCTGAGGTGTTGGAGGGTTCTCGTGACCAGGATGGACAGTGCTGTGCCCTTGGGTAGTACGGGGACTTCATCCATCTCCAGCCTCAAGGGGCAGGGGAGGGAACACAGAGACAAAGAAAGCCTGACAGGCACAGTGTGCGACCTTCAGTGGAGGGACATGGCAGCCCATGGGAACTCCCAGGGAGGCAGTCGAGGGAGCAAAACCCCCTGTGCTCCCTCCCCCTCTTCCTGCTCCCCATCTCCTTCTGGGACCCCCACTGGCTAAACACAACTGGAGGCTCGAAAGCAAAGGAATGTCTTGATATAGATCAACAAAAGTCTAGAGAGACAAAGGAATGACTAAACTCGGAGCACAGTCCAAACATAGCGTTGTCGCATGAGCCCCCAGGAGCTGGCAGACTGAGGGTTAAAGATCCATTTTTAGCCCTCCATCTTTCCTGGGGCACAGCACAGGGAGCTCAGATAAAGGAAGCACAGTCCTCTCCAGTGTGACCACGTGTGGTCCCTTCTCTGCCACACGTCTCCCCGCACGTCCACCATGCCTGTGGCTGCAGGTGCCCTTGACTTTCCAGGAAGCCCTTGGAGAGGGCTCTCTCTGCTCCTCTCTCAGACTATAGCGGGAGGAGCAGAGCCCTCCGTTGGGTCTCAGAATCCAGAGAGGGGAACGAGCAGGTGTCATTTATCAGACAGCACAGGCATTTGCGAGCCTCTAGGACCGTCAGGGCACAGGACCTGTAAAGTCACCCCTGGGGCCAGGACACAGCAGTGCCACGCCGAGGGGAAGAGTGAAAGAGAAAGCCAGAAACTGGGCTTGCCCAGTGGGTGGCAGCCAGGAAGGCAGGGGTCCAGGATAGACATGGCTCTCGAGTGACCGCCCAGGAGATGTGTCAGAAGTGAAAGGCTGACTGGGGTGTGTTCCAGGGCCTGGAATCTGTCCTCAATCCCAGTGCTCAGAGCTCTTCCCTGCCTGGGACCAGCTGGGCTCCTGGGGAGGCTAGGTAAGCCAGGGCTGAGACCCGGAGACCGTGGCTGCCCTGGCAGTCTGCCCTGGACCAGGCTCCCACGAAGTGAACCAGGATGTCCTGGTGCCAGGCGTCACCCACCCCAGCCCAGGCCCAGTCTGCCTCCCGGCAGCCAGGGTGCAGCGTGCCCTCAGGGTCACACTCACATCTCCTCATTCATCCTTCCACCTGTCTGGCACAGAGGGCAGAGAGTAGGGTGAGTGTGCTGTAGGTGTGGCTATGTGACCTTGGATTCACATTCCACAGACCACAGGGGTGGGGTCTCCAGATTTTGCTACTGGCTTGGCAAATCTCCTATGAGGAAATCTCCTAAGACGAAAAAAGGAAGCACGTGGTCAACTGAGAGCCTGACGCAGCCTGAGACAGGATGGGCTGGGCTCTCCCGCGGTCCTCAGATGGACCTCCTGAGCCTCGGCTATCTGCTTGACACCGGTCAGTACCCGGATGTCCTGATGCCCCTAAGGGGAAACCTGTCACAGCTTATGCTGAGTGAGGGCCTAGGGACACCTGAGCAAAGAACTGGAGGACAGTGGGGTCTCCAGGTATCAGTGTCCAGGGGTCCCTGGAAAAACAGGTCACAAGACACTTGCTTACCTGTAATCTGTCATTCACACAGGGGTTTGAAACATCTCATGGGCCAGGTGCGGTGGCTCACGCCTGTCATCCCAACACTTTGGGAGGCAGAAGTGAGAGGATTGCCCAGGGATTCGAGACCAGCCTGGGCAACTTGGAGAGACCTTGTCTCTACAATAAACCCAAAAATTAGCTGGGTGTGGTAGTGTGGGTGCCTGTGATTTCAGCTACTTGGAAGGCTGAGGTGGAAGGATCACCTGAGCCCAGCAGGTCGAGGCTGCAGTGGCCATGAATATGGCACCATACTCCAGGCTGGGCGACAATGAGACTCCAACTCAAAAAAAAAAAAAAAAAAAAAAAAAAA